AACCTATCATGAGGGTACCTCAGCCTAACAATTGCCCTTGCGAGCAGGAACTAGATCCCCGAATACAAGTTCCAGCCATGTCACGCCGCCATCCGAGGATCCCGGTAATCGACGGGTGCGATCGGGACTCAGTCGCTGGGATACACCTTGTTTAGCCCTCACTTCAACCTGCAAGGCAATAGGTCTTCTCCAAAACGAGCGCAGGCGCAAGGGGCCTGAACATCACCACCCGGCGGAAGCTGACATAAGCGACGGTGTCTTTTATCACACTGGGTTTCGCCGAACAACATCGTGAGTTCAGATCTGCATAGTGCTAATTTCAGTATGCTTGCAATCCCCAGGCTGTTGGCCTGCCTACCGTTATCGTGGAATACACGCATCGACCCACGTGTTTTCCCGCCCCGTGGAGACCGATAAGTTGACTCTTCTGTGCATCGTTGGACATGTCACTATCTGAGGCTGTCTCCCGACGTATGCGTATATTGAATGAGCACTGTACGGGCAACGGGAAGACCGCGCGGGTCGCTATAAAACTTGCTTACTTGACATGCGTGTGAGTACAAGGCTCCGGCCGCTGTATTGAATTCTCGAAAGCGGCATCATCAACATAACATGCATACGCACGTCACTCCGGTGAAACCGAGATATGAGAGCGCGCGAAGCCGTGTAGGTTAGAGTGTAGAAGACCGCGGTAGCAGTTGGATAAGCCTCTTGCGTACCGCAAGGAGATGTCGTAATCCCGTAATTTCATCACATCACATGTTTGGGAAGGGGCGGCGCTGCGGATGATAGATAATCATTGAGAACAGCGTCAGCATGTCGTAGCCAGGGAGGAAGGGCGATCCGCCCGTACATAGACATCAAATTCGCAAGCTTCATGGGAGAGACCACTCGGATTCTGATCCTGAGGGGTTGGCTGGCGTGCTTCCTCAGTTCAGCACATGCATGTTTATCTCGTGCATCCATCTCGCGGGATTCGATGGTTGCGCTCCAGTCAGACACTCAGAGGCATCAGTGACGACGAACATTGCCATGGGCGATTCCCAGAGGAGATTATACAGGTCACAGGCTAAGGTAAAACAGAAGAGTGTCCTTGATCTCAGAACTCCCCGATTGTCGGAGAGCCACTAAGAACAATCCGATACGATGTGCGAAGGGAATGCGCTAATGAGGTGCAGTCTCAGCAGCAAGAAATCGAAGTATACACCGGCGGACAGAGTGGAAAGACGAAGAACCGAAAAACGCGAAGAGCTCCAATCAACTCAAGCACGCATACCAAGATGTACATAGTCATTGAGTCCCCAGCACGGCAGACGCAGCAGAACGCGGAGTGATATCACACACGAACGGCTTCGGGATACTGCAGTAGAGACGGCAGATAAATGCAAGGGCGTAAGCGTTCAACACACAAGACGCAGCCGGGATGGTACAGACCTGATGATCCCGGGCCCCGCCTCCGCACCCGGCGGAACCTCCCTGCCACTCTCATCGCGCACAGGCGCGATGTCGAGCACCGCAAGCATGCATGCCGCATATATCCACAGCGACGACTCCGCTAGGTGCATCCCGGGGCAGATCCGCCGACCGTACCCGAACACCGTCGGCACGCAATCGGGCTCGCCGAGCCCTCCTGCGGCCTTCGGCAGGAAGCGCTCTGGCTTGAAGGTGAATGGGTCAGAGTAGATGGTCTCGTCGTGCATTATTCCCCTGTAATATAGCGCAGAAAGAATGAAGGTAAGCGGAGCTCGCACAGAACTATGAAGGTATGCACCAGATGTTCGCAAGCACGGTGGATCCTAGAGGAATGGTGAGCATCCATGGCGAGAAAGAGCGAGGCATGACGCACCAGCAGGGATGTCGTAATTACTGTATTGACCGTCCTCCATCGCCCGATGCGGGAGGCCTGCCCCCATCATCTGTGAGCTTAATCTTGCAGACATAGTTGTGATGCGAAGGAAAGCATACCAAGAGGTGCAACAGTCCAGTATCTCAACGTCTCCTTGACGCATGCTCCGATATACGGAAGGTCCACCATGTCCGCAAACGTCGGGAGGCGGTCGCTGCCAACGACTTTGTCGATCTCCTCCTGCGCACGCTTCTGCGCATCCCTATGCAAACACATCAGCAGGACGAACGCTGTCAGCCCGGCAATAGTCTGCCGGGAAGGGATATCAGGAGAGGTTGAGACGGAAGAATAGAATGTGGGGCACGTACCGTGTCCGAGCCACCGGTGTAGAGGCTCGCCGCAGACCACATGATCTCCTCCTCGCTCGTGTCTGTATTTGGTTTCGAGGTGTGGCTGCGAAGGTGAGAAGCGACGTAGGAGTCGGGTGCATCCTCAGCTGCCTACGATGGGTAACTACAGGAGTTACACTGGGTGACACGGTGAAAAAGTTACATACAAGTGCCGCCTTCACCGCATTGAATGGTATACTAGCGAGATCGTCAAGGTCTTTTCGCCACTGCA